GCCCAAACCGGAAGGGAGGAGGATATGGTACCAGGTGGCGGACGACGAGGGAGAAGACGAGGCTTCGGAGAGGCTATCTTTGACATTCCAAGGGATGGGGGTGGAGGAATTGACTCGTAAATTGGAGGAGGAGACCGGCATTGAAGGATTGGTTGTGTGCACTCGCAATCCTCTGAATGGAAAGCCTTATCCGATTCGATTGCAGCTTCCTCCAAACAACGCAACTTTGAATGTCGTTCTGGTTCTGAAATCTTCCAAATGTGAGATTCTTGGATCCCTTTTCACTTTTTCCAATTCCGATTCCTTAGTTTCATGCGAATGCTGCCATATCTGTTTTTCCTGCTTCTGGAGTTCGGCTTGTAACTCATCACTACTGATAGACCTGAAACTCTTTTTGAGTTGAATTTTGACCAATTTTTGGTATTGGTTTTGTGTGTTTGTGTTGTAACAGTGGGAAGTGAATTTGAGAAGCAAGGTTTGATATAAAGAGGAGAGAATGATTGTCGGAGTTAATGGAGTCTACCCAGAAGATTGAAGAACATAGGGAATATATTTATTTAGAATGTACAGTAGAGTATAGTGAGTAGCTGTAAATTGGTTATTGCTTGATTATTCTTGTCGGATTTTTGGTACGTTGAATTGTAGTGTGTATACTGTTAACTATTGTGTTTTCTTTTTGTACATATAAGAAAGAGAGAATTAAATTATTTAATTTTACTTTGTCATTATTAAATAATATCAATTAGATTGTAAAAATAGAATTTATTATTATTAAATATTAGAGTAATAAAATTTAATACAATGATGGTTCTAATAAAAAATATTTACTATAAAAAATTAAAATAGTAATAAAATAAATTAAAATTTATGTTATTTTAATTAATAAAATATTATCAAAAGAATGTATGTGTAATTAGTTAGAAATAATAAAACAACATGATTTTCTATTTATACGAGGTATATACGTAGTATTACCTTAATAATCTATAATATCATCTCAACTATAATCATATTTGGTAAAGTAATTGAAGAATAATTTGGTAGAAACTTTTAATTTCTATTCGAACAATAAACAATGAATTTTCTTTTAATTGTTATTTAGAATTAAGTTGTTTCTATTAAATAAAAAAAAATTTCCAATTATTCTTAGAGTCTCTAGCTATTATTGTCCTTCCTTACATGAAAGGACACGACAATTTTCTATTCATATGGGTATATACATACTAATATCCTAACAATTTGTATTATCATCTCAATCATAATCATAGTTGGTAGATTAATTGAACAAGTGTCCATTGCATCATACTAGACAACACCAATAAATAAAAGTAAATATGACAGACAAAATTTAATGACAAAAATGAGCAACATCTCAAAATTTAAAGTGTTCTTGGATAATAATGTAGTTTACAAATATATGAAAAATTTCCCTAGATAATTGTGTAGGGTTCCTAGATAACAGGAAATTGGATATTCACCCAAGATATACACAATACATGTGAAATACAACATACCAATGCTAGCTTTAAAAGAAAGAATTGGGATGTAAATCATATAAGTTTACTAAAAAATATAGCATATCTAAACAATATTAAAACAACGACATTTTAAACCTTAGGTCCTAGGTTTCAATTACATCTCCAACAAAATAAAAAAAAACAAGCAAAGAAAAGGGAAATATATTAGGAATTTAAAAGAAACAATGTTTTATTATAAAAACATCTATTAGATCTAATTCAGAATAATGTGTAGGCTCCATGTTGTCTTCTACAAAATCTAGCATACCACAAAAACAAGAATCCAAGCTCTCATATGCCCCAGAAACTTCGTTCACAAGACATACACTAATAGTGAACATATATATCCGACGAAGATGCACAAGCTTTCTAACACGATGATCACACCAGTAGATTCCTCTTCTTTAGAGGACGAGAACAAGAAAAAGTTGTCTTCAGCAATGAAAGATGATTGTTCATTTTCTAGGGGAATAAGAAAAAGACCTCGTATACTTCGTTTGGGCAAGGAGGAAAGACAATTTTTGTGACATATTATGATTACAAAACCTCCATTTTTAATCTCCCAATATACCAATTTTTACTACCTCCCCCATTTTTGAAAACCCTAAAAACGTTCTTTAATATTATTGCATCGTCAACTTTCTTTTAGTAATTTTTTAATATTTTAGTACTAAATTACGTTCTCAGATAACTTAAATGAAATCTGAGTTCACAGTTCATCTTTTAGGTTGTGTATGTTTTTTTTATTAATTTAGAATTTCAAAGAAACAAATCAAAATGAATCTCCAAGTTAATTTTTTAAATATCCATTCTGTATAGCTAGTCTTTTATACTCTTATCCGTTTTTAGGTATAAGTTGCTTAGAAATTTCCTAAAATTAAGCTGTCTAAAAAATTATACSATAATTTTAGCCATTTGGTTTCAAGGGCATATCTGTCATAAATAAATTAGGAACGGATCAGTCAATTAGCCAGCATTATTTTTATGGCCATTCCTCTCGTTAGTCATTAAATGAAATGCTTAATATTTTTGGGCCAAGAAACATAAGGAGGCCCAAACATTGTTTTTACTTTTACTTCTCCACTAATTCTCTTTGCCATTTTTTTTTGTACAATATGGAGGTGGAAGTGGAAGATCGAACTCACAACCTCTTGGTTGAAAATATATGATAATTATTACTGTGCTCGCTTTGACCCATTTTTAAGTTTGAAACACACATGATTCTCGTATTTCATTTATTATTAGTGATTAAAGTATTATTTGCTTCATCCCGTGGAACTAAAAACTAGTTATCTTGTGATTGGATAGGTCTTATTCAAGGACTAGTCGTTTTATTTCACAGAAACTGATATCAAAGCTTATTTGGTTCAGGGTCATGAGATTTAGTGAGAAATCAAGTTTAAAAGGAATTATGAGGTTCCATGAAGCCAATTTTAAATATTGGAAAATGAATATTAAAGATTACTTAACTTCATAAAATTTTGAAATAACAACCAACGAGAATGAAGGATTAAGACTAAGAATAGATGGATGAATAGGTAGTTGCTATTATCAAATTATGTTTGTAGATGACAAATCATATTATCAAAATCAAATTACCTTATGATTTCTAATCCATCTGATTTTGATGATGGAGCATGTATCCATTTGTTAAGTATTGTTGATTTATTTTGACAGCTAATTKTTGAATGGTTCTTTACTCTTATTATTTAACCACCTAGAAGTGCCAAATCAGAATGTTGACTTTCCAACTCAACTTCATTAATCCCACGCTCCGTATCTCATTCAGGTTTCTCCCCAAATGGGTCCTTACCCATTTTATTTGTTTCTTTTTTCTTTCAACAAAAGTTGATTACTAGAGAGAGAAAAACCAAAAAAAAGAAAAGAAAAGGGGTGCACGGTGTGCAATTGTAAAAGAGGAAGAAGAAGCTGGTGTGCGACTGTAAAAGAGAGAGAGAAGAAGTTCTTCTTCCTCTTGGGTATTTCATGTTCTTTGAGAGAGTGTGAGGTCTGGTTATTTATAGTGAGGTCTCTTTGTTGGCAGTTGTGCATCTCTTTAAGAGTAAAAGGGAGTTGTGTATTTTGGACTTCTTGAGAATTGCTCCGTTCCCTTTAGTGCTGCTGTACCTTTATGATTACTGAAATTAGTGGATAGCATGAAGAAAGTGGATGTAGATCTCAAATTGGATCCAACCACTGTCCATCTCTTTTCTATCACTCTATTTTTACATTTTCTAATATATATGTTCATAGTTGTTCACTGCATTTTGGTTGTGTCGCTGGTTTTCTTAGTTTGTCCAGAAGTGTGTTTATTAGATTTGTGTGAGATAAGCATAACAAATTGGTATCAGTGCTTGATTTTAACATTTAGAGTCTTGCTGGGAGTTATTTCTCTATTATTCATGGTTGAAAATTTTGAAGTAGAGAAGTTTGATGGGAAATGTGATTTTTATTTATGGAAAAAAAGAGAGCATCACTTGTTCAACAAAAGGTTTCTAGGGCTTTAGATGAATCTCTTGTGTGACCCGAAAAACTAAGTAAAGGAGAAGTTGTCGAAATAAAGGAAATTGCCTTTAGCACCATAATTTTGTACTTATTAGATAACGTTGTAAGGCAAGTTCATGAAGCCAAAACTGCTCAAGAGTTGTGGACGAAGCTAGACTCACAATATATCTCACAAAATCCCTAACCAATAAACTTTAGATTAAAGAAAAGTTCTTTGATTTTAAAATGGATGTGTCTAAGGATCTAGAACAGAACTTAGATGAGTTAAACCGAATTGTGCTTGACTTTAGCAACATAGATGAAAAAATGTCCAATGAAAATAAGGCTATCATCCAATTAAACTTCCTTAATCTTACAATGAGGTAAAAAGAACCATTGAATATGGAAGGGACARCTTTACTTTGAACATTGTTTCAAGTGACCTTAAATCTAGAGATCTCTATTGACACCAAAAGTGGAAAAAGAAAACTGAACTTTATTTACAAACTCAAGTATATATATACATATCCCAACAAATCAAATAACATAAATTAGTTATTACTTTAACAACTAACTAATTATAGCCTAACTTATTCCTAATACTCCCCTTAAGATGGGCTATAAATATCCTGAATACCCATCTTGGATAATAAGGAAAATAAAGAGGAAGCAGGAAGTGGCTTAGTAAACAGATCGGCAAGTTGCACATTAGTCCGTATAGGAAGGAGCTTGAGAAAGCCAGCCATCAACCAGTCGATCACGAACAAAGTGATAGTCCCATTCAATGTGCTTAGTCCGTTCATGAAAAATGAGACTGGAAGTAATATGCATAGCAGCCTCGTTGTCACAAAATAAAAGTGTTGGCCGAGAAGAAGACACTTGAAGATCCATACAGTAGATGAGAAAGCCAAAGTAATTCACAAGAAGCAACAGCCAAGACAGCAGAGTACCGATATATAGTAGTATGTTTCTTGGACTTCCAAGATATCAAAGAATCTCCCAAGAAAACACAAAATCTTGTAGTTGAACGTCGTGTATCAAGGCAAGAAACCCAATCAGAATTACTATGGTAACTTCCAGGGTAAAGTTCTGCCACTGTCAGCCTTGTCATTTTCTGCTCCTTTTTTATTCCGATGTTGTAGCATTAATAATGCTGCATCAAAACATTTAAAATTAGGCCAATTATCCTAACTCTCAACATTGCTTACTAAGGCAATGGTGTTAGTGAATTAAAAGCATAAAAGACACAAAATCAATGTAGAGTGGGTGTTTGTGTGGCTATTCTTAGCTAGTTTATATGAAATTCTAGCACAAATTACTCTCTTTTGGAGAGTTATCACACCTCCAAACTTGAACTATTGCTTGCCCCAAGTAATGCTTGTCTTACTTCTACTCTTAGTAGAATAGACAAATTATGCACACTAACAACTTCACCAATTGCCTATGACTGTTAAATGTTTCTCAGTCTACTCAAGCATCAAATCATAAAGGAATCAAACAACTCTTGTACTAAGACTAAGGTGATTTACTCACATCTGACCACTTCATTCCACCCTCACCCTTGGTAGCTTTCAAAATTTTCCCCCAACTTCCTTTCTCAAATTGGCTTCCTTTATTCTAACTGTTTTCTCACTACTGCCCGTCTAAATATCTATGGGATACTAGCCATTCCAAACCCTGCAACTCTTTGAAATGTTTTTTTTTTCTTTTC